GGGTGCCGTTGGAGAGGTGGCTTGGGAGGAAGCCGCCGGTGGACATGCTGAGGGTGTTCGGTTGCATGGCAGTCGCCCACGTCCCCAAGACCTACCGCAGTAAGTTGGGGGCGAGTGCAATCTGGTGTGTGCATTTGGGGCTGGCTGCTGAGAGCAAGGGATGGCTGCTGTGGGAACCCTCCAAGGGTGTGTTATTTGACAGCAGGGATGTGAAGTTTGTTGAGGGCATGATGTATGGGAGCTGGGAGAAACAGCCGGAGGCCAGGGTGTCCCAGCAGATGGAGCAGATTACCATGCAGCTGGACCTGACTCCTAGTGTGTGGGAGGAGGGAGAGGAGGCAGCTGCAGAGGGTGGTGATAAAGAGAAGGTGCAGGAGGCACCTGCTGGTGGAGGTGATGGTGTGGAGATTAGCGGTAGCACTAGTGGAGCTGCTGGATCTGAGGGAGGAGAGCAGCAGCAGGGGAAAACTAAGAAGCCGAAGGGTGTTATTATGAAGGGATGGGAGACACCCGTCTCCAGGCCAGGACGTACCCGTATGGCTACTAAGAAGCTGACTGCAGGAGCTGATGTAGCGGAGCAGCAGCTTGGGACCGAGGAGGCATTGCTGATTCTACCGCATGGCTATGACCCGGATGAGGAGGATCAACCTGCATACTGTTTTCTTGCCCCTGCACCAGAGGAACCAGCTAGCATGGAGGAGGCATTAGCTGGACCAGATAGGGACAAATGGCTAGCTTCCAGGGATGCTGAGTACCAGAGCCTGCTGGAGAATGGGACTTGGGAACTAGTGGTGCTGCCTGAGGGAAAGAAAGCGGTACAATGCAAGTGGGTGCTAAGGATCAAGACTGACGACAAGGGGCAGGTCACCATCTACAAGAGTAGGTTGGTGGCTAAGGGGTTTATGCAGAAGGAGAAGCGGGACTTCAATGAGATCTTTGCTCCCACTGCCAAACCCCCTACCCTTCGTGTCTTGTTGGCAGATGCAGCCGTTAGTGGGAAGTTCATTATCCAGATGGACATATCAACGGCATTTCTCAACGGGATTCTAGAGGAGGAGGTGTTCATGACGCAGCCACCTGGGTATGAGGATGGTACGGGCAGGGTGTGCAAGCTGAAAAAGTCCATCTATGGCTTGAAGCAGGCGCCACGCTGCTGGTACCAGAAGTTGGCAGCTGTTTTAGAGGAGATGGGATTCAGGACCAGCAGCTGTGATGAGAGCCTCTTTCTCAAGGGGGAGGGGGAGAAGCTGGTGCTGCTTCTGGTCTATGTGGACGACATTCTTCTCTTTAGCAGCAGCATGAAGGAGATCCAGAAGGTGCAGCAGCAGCTGATGGAGAACTTCAAGTGCAAGAACCTTGGGGAGGTAAAGTACTACCTCGGGATGCACGTAGAGAGGGATCCAGATCACAGGTGGTTGAAGCTGCACCAGGAGAAGTTCATCAAGGAGCTTGGGGAGAAGTACGGAATTGAGAATGAGCGCAAGGTTGCAACTCCCCTGCCAGCAGAATTCAAGCTTGTGAAAGCTGCAGAGGATGAAGGGGTTGAAGCCGAGGAGCAGCAGCAATTTCAGTCCTTGGTGGGCAGCCTCTTGTATGCAGCAGTTCACACGAGACCCGACATCTCTTTCTCGGTTGGGCAGCTGGCTAGGGTAGTGCAGAATCCATCAGAGGAGCAGGTGGATGCAGCTGAGCGTGTGGTGAAGTATCTGAACTCTCACCCAAGCATTGGAGTTCAATACTCCGCATCTGCACAGGTGAAGCAGAAAGGGGTTGAGGTGCTGAAAGAGAAGGGGGAGAGGCTTGGAGAAGGCAAGCTTTTTCTCACTTGCTTTACTGATGCTACGTGGGCCTCTGAGAAGGAGGATTCCTCATCTGTGGGAGGATACATCTGCGTAGTTGGGGGAGGACCGGTTAGTTGGAGGTCAAAGAAGCAGACGGAGACAGCACTCTCTTCCGTGGAGTCAGAGTACATGGCGATGTTCCATGGGGTGAAGGAGGTGATTTGGCTGAGGAGGTTGTTAGAGGAGATTGGCCAGGAGCAGAAGGTTGCTACGCCGCTGTTTTGTGATAGCAAGGGAGCTCTTGGGATGGCCAGGAACGCTGTGCTTCATGGGCTGAACAAGCACATGCGTATCAAGTGGCACTGGCTGCGTAAGGAGGTGAAGAGGGGGACGGTGAATCCGATCTACATCAAGACTCACCAGCAGCCAGCAGACTTCCTCACCAAGAGGCTTGCGGATGAGTCTCATTGGCGTTGTGTGCGCATGAGTGGAATGAGCATGAACTAGTATGGAATGATGGGGATGCAGCCGGCAGGCTGAGGGGGAGTGTGTTGGGTGCAAATTCACATTGCACGACATCCTGCCGTCTGTTTGTACGAGTATGCGTGTGCGAATGCATTTGCGTGTGAATGGTATGTTTGTGTGTTTGTTTGCTTTCGCAATTTTCGCTTGAAGCATTTGCAGGTACTCGCAAAATGTGCGCTTCGGCATAACATTGTACGCGCTATGAACAGTACAAGCAGAAAGGACGAGCTCGCAAAGGAACCCAAGATGGAAGCTTTGCGGTTCAACTTACTTGATTGCGCAGATTCAGTTCTATCCAGCTCGAAATTGTACTGTTTTGTTTGGTTGACTATAGTGTAGCAGGGCAGGCACTATAGGGGTACAATTTAGGTGAAGGTTGGATGTTGTTTGTCTGTATCTGCATGCTACAGGGCCAGGGGAAACCAGCGGAACCAGCATTTGGCTGGTTGGGCAAAGACAAAACAGGTTCTGTTTTTAGGACCTGAACCTGGTTGTTGTTTTCCCAGGTTGGAAAAACAGAACCAGAGGTTGTTCACCAACCTATCACCTGCTATTTTGTCCAGCCAGGTTGGTTCTGTTGCTTGGAATTATTTGGGATCATCCCTGGTTGTTCCCAGGTTGATTCCCAAGGTCCTTGCTAGCTAGAGCTATTTATTCCTTCTCTGTTTGTACCTGAATATAGTGAAATTGATTCAAGCGAATTCCTTCCTTGCTGGAATTTTTTGTCTACGCGGTGCGACGGCGGAATGCTACCCGAGTCAACGCTAGTACGCTAGCACTCCAACGCTAGGCTAACGCTGTCCGAGCCATAACTTCGTAATGGCAGAACTTTTCGCGAGGCAACTTGGCTTATTTTAAAGCTCTTAGAGTGAGCTTCGATATAGGAAATTCTCAGCTTAATCCGATCGACGGTCTGCACGATACGCTGCGCGACGTTCAAGGTACTCTTGCTGTTTTTGACTAAGTCCCTCTTGATCCCTCTCTCTACAAACTCGGACCCGAGGATAGGGGCTGGTCTTGTACCAGGCACCCAAGGACCCTTGGAGGTGACCCCGAGGAGAGGTTTTAAGTGTGATAAAGTCTTAATAGCTTGAGTTTATTAGGCCCTTACACCAACAACCAGCAGCCAGCAGACTTCCTCACCAAGAGGCTTGCGGATGAGCCTCATTGGCGTTGTGTGCGCATGAGTGGAATGAGCATGAACTAGTATGGAATGATGGGGATGCAGCCGGCAGGCTGAGGGGGAGTGTGTTGGGTGCAAATTCACATTGCACGACATCCTGCCGTCTGTTTGTACGAGTATGCGTGTGCGAATGCATTTGCGTTTGAATGGTATGTTCGTGTGTTTGTTTGCTTTCGCAATTTTCGCTTGAAGCATTTGCAGGTACTCGCACAATATGCGCTTCGGCATAACATTGTACGCGCTATGAACAGTACAAGCAGAAAGGACGAGCTCGCAAAGGAACCCAAGATGGAAGCTTTGTGGTTCGGCTTACTTGATTGCGCAGATTCAGTTCTATCCAACTCGAAATTGTACTGTTTTGTTTTGTTGACTATAGTGTAGCAGGGCAGGCACTATAGGGGTACAATTTAGGTGAAGGTTGGATGTTGTTTGTCTGTATCTGCATGCTACAGGGCCAGGGGAAACCAGCGGAACCAGCATTTGGCTGGTTGGGCAAAGACCAAACAGGTTCTGTTTTTAGGACCTGAACCTGGTTGTTGTTTTCCCAGGTTGGAGAAACAGAACCAGAGGTTGTTCACCAACCTACCACCTGCTATTTTGTCCAGCCAGGTTGGTTCTGTTGCTTGGAATTATTTGGGATCATCCCTGGTTGTTCCCAGGTTGATTCCCAAGGTCCTTGCTAGCTAGAGCTATTTATTCCTTCTCTGTTTGTACCTGAATATAGTGAAATTGATTCAAGCGAATTCCTCCCTTCCTGGAATTACGTTTCTACGCGGTGCGACGGCGAAATGCTACCCGAGTCAACGCTAGTACACTAGCACTCCAACGCTAGGCTAACGCTGTCCGAGCCATAACTTCATAATGGCAGAACGTTTCGCGAGGCAACTTGGCTTATTTTAAAGCTCTTAGAGTGAGCTTCGATATAGTAAATTCTCAGCTTAATCCGATCTACGGTCTGCACGATACGCTGCGCGACGTTCAAGGTACTCTTGCTGTTTTGACTAAGTCCCTCTTGATCCCTCTCTCTACAAACTCGGACCCGAGGATAGGGGCTGGTCTTGTACCAGGCACCCAAGGACCCTTCGAGGTGACCCCGAGGAGAGGTTTTAATTGTGATAAAGTCTTGATAGCTTGAGTTTATTAGGCCCTTACACCAACAACAAAACAGTACAATTTCGAGTTGGATAGAACTGAATCTGCGCAATCAAGTAAGCCGAACCGCAAAGCTTCCATCTTGGGTTCCTTTGCGAGCTCGTCCTTTCTGCTTGTACTGTTCATTGCGCGTACAATGTTATGCCGAAGCGCACAATGCGGGAGTACCTGCAAATGCTTCAAGCGAAAATTGTGAAAGCAAACAAACACACGAACATTCCATTCATACCCAAATGCATTCGCACACGCATACTCGTACAAACAGACGGCAGGATGTCGTGCAATGTGAATTTGCACCCAACAGGAGAGAGTGTCGCAAAGAAGTCTCGTCCTTGATTTTGGGTGAATCCCTTGGCACATTACTGGGCTTTGAAGATAGGGAGTTCGCCTGGAAGTTGTTTCACCCGAAAAACCCATTTGCCCTTCATGATATTGACACCGGGGGGAGGAGAGACATCGGTGAAAGTTCCTGTGTGAATGAAGGCCTCACATTCTGCGACAATGGCCCCCAACCACTGGGCGGCATGAGGACTAGGAACTGCTTTAGCATAAGTGGGAGGTGTGGGGATGGAGGGGTTGTCGGAGAAATTGAGAGTGGGAGAGTCTGCGATATCTGGAAAGTGGAAGCAGTGCGCGTGTATGGCTGAGTCGATATCAATCAACTCCCCATGTCAGTCTTCGAGGAGGGAAGGCATTAGAGAATAATCACCCCCAACAGGAGGAGGATTGAGGGAGACACAAACGGAAAGGGAGAGCGGTTTTGGGGCTTTATGAGAGCGTGTGCGAGAAGCGATGGGCGAAGGGGGCGGAGCTGGAGGAGTAGTATCGGTGTCAGAGATGGGAGTGGGAGCAAGAGGAAAGGAAAGAGGGGGAGCTGGTGGGTAAGGGGAGGGGGGAGGAAGGAGCAGAGGAGACTGCGTGGTGCTGGAGAGGGGGTGGTGGCGGGTCAGAGACGGTGGAGGGAGCGGGAAGAGGAGGAGATGGAGTGGCAGGAGGAGGAAGACTGTCCAAGTCAGCCCAAGTAAGAGGAGGCGGAGGAGAGGAGGAAGCCTTAGAGGATGGATAGAACGGGTAAGACTCATCAAAGAATACGTCACGGCCGCGTTAGAGTTTGTTGGTGGAAGGATGGAGGAAGAAATAGTCTGGCGAATCTGAGTTGTGCCCGAGGCACATGCACGTGATTGTTTTGGGAGCAAGTTTCCCGCCAGCTGCACGACGGGCTTGGGAGTTGAGGACATAGGAAGTGCACCCCCAAACACATAGAGGGTGGACGGGCGGCTTTTAACCCGTCCACAGCTCTGCGGGGGTGGTGTGGGTGTGGTAAGGACGGGGATGGAGATTGTGGAAGGCGGCAGCATGGAGCATGGCATACCCCCAAAGAGAGGGAGGGGTGGAGGCGTGAGGAGGCAGCGAGCAATTTGCACCAAGATGCGGTTCCGACACTCAGAAACACCGTTCTGTTGGGGACTGTCTGGGAGAGCGAAGGTTTGACAGATACACTCTGTAGAATAGAAGGTTTTGAGAGTGTTGTTGCGGAATTCACCGCCACCATCAGAGTGAAGAACCTTGATGGTAGTTTTGAAGTGTTTATGAGCCTTCCGGGCCCATTCCATGATGACGGCTGGGGCTTCTGACTTGGAGGTGAGAAGGTGGACAGACACATATTGGGAATAGTCATCAATGATGACAAGGAAGTAGAAGTGTCCGCCACGAGAACGAACAGGAGCTGGCCCCCAAAGGTCCATGTTCACGCGATCGAGAGGTGCTATTGAGATGGACTCAGTGGGGGGATGGGGCTGTTCACGAACAGTCAAGGTTGCTGTGCTCTGTGCACAGTCAAGGCAAGGCGGCCCTAGGTTGGAGGTAGGGGAGGAAAGTGATGCTGGAAGTTTGTGAAGGAGTTGTTTTGTGGCAAGGTCCAAAAGTGCGCGGAAGTTGATGTGGCCAAGGCGGTGATGAAAGAGCATAGTTTTGTCAGAAAGGAGATGGCACTGACATGTGGAGGAGTCCGAGGAAGGGAGCGGAAGGTTGGTAAACGAGCATACTTGAATGGGTGGTACAACGCGCGTGTAGAGGTTGTTGGAGTTGAGGATGAAACGGGCAAGATGGATGTGGGTTTTGGCGTCAAGAGGCCACAGTACTCAACATCGTTGGGAAAGATGGTGATCACTCCTGCATGTTGGATTTCATGCTGTGCAAGGAGATTGTAGCCGAGGGTTGGGGCACAGATACCAGTGACTGTGCCGGATGGGAAGGCTGGACAAGGAACTGTGGAGGACCCATGGCATTCGATGGCGAAACTGGAATCGGCTCCAAGGAGTGGGGTGGGAGCCTGGTAGGGAACGAATGCGGTTTAGTCTTTGAGGACTGTGTGGGTGGCACCACTGTGTAGGATGAACTCCTGCCCCTGTGTATCTAAAACACCAAAGTACTGGGACCCCTTTGTCAACAGGAGTCGTGTGTTGGCAAGGTCCTCGCTTGGGCAGAGCCGACTTCGTGGTCGGGTGTGAAGGGAGCAGCCGACCTGCAGCAATGGGCGAGCTGGTTGACGAGGAGGTCGACCTGCACGGGGGTCACTGCACGGGCGCCAACTTCAGGGAGGCACCGACTTCAGGGAGGTCGACCTGGGAAGTCGACCTGCGGAGGGCGTTGACTTGGTGACGCCACCTTGGGGCAGCCGACTTGGGTGGTCGGCTAACATGACTGCTGGTCGACCTGGTGGTTGGCGACCAGGCCTGCTGGTCGACCTAACCTGGTGGTCGATGGCGGAGAGGCCGACGTCGACCTCGACACAGGACGCCGAGCAGCTGGGCGTCGAGTAGCAGGGCGTCAACTTGGTGACGTCGACTTCAGGTAGCCGACTTCGGTGGTTGGCTGATAACTACGCTGGTCGACCAGGAGTGCTGGTGGACGTTGAGCTGGTCGACCAGGAGTGACGTCGACCTGGAGCTGGTGGATGTAGGTCTAAGGGCCTAATAAACTCAAGCTATTAAGAATTTATCAAACTTAAAACCTCTCCTCGGGATCACCTCCAAGGGTCCTTGGGTGCCTGGTACAAGACCAGCCCCTATCCTCGGGTCCGAGTCTGTAGAGAGAGGGATCAAGGACATAGTCAAAACAGCAAGAGTACCTTGAACATCGCGCAGCGTATCGTGCAGACCGTCGACCGGATTAAGTTGAGAATTTCCTATATCGAAGCTCACTCCAAGAGCTTTAAAATGAGCCAAGTTGCCTCGCAAAAAGTTCTCTCATTACGAAGTTATGGCTCGGACAGCGTTTGCCTAGCGTTGTAGTGCTAGCGTACTAGCGTTGACTCAGGTAGCATTCCGCCGTCGCACCGCGTAGAAAGGAAATTCCAGCAAGGAAGGAATTCGCTTGAATCAATTTCACTATATTCAGGTACAAACAGAGAAGGAATATATAGCTCTAGCTAGCAAGAACCTTGGGAATAAACCTGGGAACAACCAGGGATGATCCCAAATAGTTACAAGCAACAGAACCAACCTTGCTGGACAAAACAGCAGGTGGTAGGTTGGTAAACAACCTCTGGTTCTGTTTTTCCAACCTGGGAAAACAACAACCAGGTTCAGGTCCTAAAAACAGAACCTGTTTTGTCTTTGCCCAACCAGCCAAATGCTGGTTCCGCTGGTTTCCCCTGGCCCTGTAGCATGCAGATACAGACAAACAACATCCAACCTTCACCTAAATTTTACCCCTATAGTGCCTGCCCTGCTACACTATAGTCAACCAAACAAAACAGTACAATTTCGAGTTGGATAGAACTGAATCTGCGCAATCAAGTAAGCCGAACCGCAAACTTCACATCCCTGCTGTCAAACAACACACCCTTGGAAGGTTCCCACAGCAGCCATCCCTTGCTCTCAGCAGCCAGCCCCAAATGCACACACCAGATTGCACTTGCCCCCAACTTACTGCGGTAGGTCTTGGGGACGTGGGCAACTGCCATGCCACCAAACACCCTCAGCATGTCCACCGGCGGCTTCCTCCCAAGCCACCTCTCCAACGGCACCCACGAGTCATCCCCAACCTTTGTGAGTACCCTGTTCCTAGCGACGGTAGCGTGCCGAACAGCATGGGGCCACATCAAGCTGCCCAGCCCAGATTCTATGACCAGCGCCCTAGCTGTCTCCAGAATTGTCCGGTTTGCCCGTTCTGCTACACCGTTGGACTGTGGGATGTAAGCCGTGGTCAGCTCCCTCTGGATGCCCTGCTTCTTGAGCCAGGCCGTCATCTCAGCTCCAAGGAACTCACCACCCCGATCTGTCCTAATCCGCTTCACCACACACTCCACTTGCTTCTCCACGAATGGCAGCCAATCTTCCCGTATCGTAGAGGCGGCATGGTCCTTCTGCTTCAGCAGATATGCCCACATAAGCCTGCTCCAATCATCCACTATGGTCAGAAAGTACCGCTCCCCCTTGTGCCCCTGAACCGGCAGCGGCCCCACCAAGTCCATGTGGACCAGCTCCAATGGCTTCTTGCTCCTGCCAGCCACACTATGGAAGGGGAAACGGGTAAACTTTGAGAGCAAACAGATTTCACAATTCTCATCAGGTGGCTGTCCATTCAGCTTCAGACCCTTAACGCCTCCATCTTTCTCCAACTGCTTCAACAAGGGCATTGCCACTTGCCCCAAGCGTCGGTGTGTCGTTGCCCAATCCGTCTCCCCTGATCTGGCCGACACTTTCACACCAACCCCTCCAACGGCATTGCACTCCCCCTGGGATGCAGACCCCTCTCCAGCCTGCCCCCCACCATGCCACGCCAACTCCGGCAGCTGCCACATGGATCTGTACACGTCCTTGCTCTCATGCAGATCCCAAAGCACCCGATTGCCCAGCTGCCCCTTGTAAGTGCGTGCCCCATCCGTGCTAGTGCTCACCCCAGACTTGCCAAGCTTACGGAGGGAGATGAGGTTGGCCTTGAGTTCAAGAACAAGGAGAACGTCGTGCAGCACCACCGGCTTGCCATCCGCTCCCTTAAACGCAGCTCGTCCCTCACCAGCCACCTTCAGCGCGTGTCAAGAGGCGGAGCACACCTCGTTGATTGGTGCAGCTCGTACGTGGTCCAGCAGGTCTTTTCGCGGCGTCATCGTCCAAGCAGCGCCCATGTCCAACACCCAATAGTCCAGGGGGTGCAGCTCTTCTCCAACCTTGGCAGAGGCGTCTCCTAGCTCCCCCTGCTCCCCCTGCTCTCCAATATGGAAGAACTGGCCCGCGGTGCGCTCCTTCTTCTTTTCCGCACCGCCGTTGCTCTTCGGGATGTTGTCGGACGAATCGGGGACCATGCTCGCGCCATCCTGGTGACGATTCTGGGGGGTCCATCCATCGGGTTTCTTATAGCACAAAAACCAGGGGTGCCCCTCCTTCTCACAATACCAGCAACTCCCTTTCATTTTGCCACCAGCACCCGACTTGCCCCCACGTCCAGATTTCGCATCGCGACCCCAACCGGTACCTCCTTGTTGGTCGTTGGAGTCGTCGTCCTTCTTTGCACCGCGTCCAGCACCACCGAAGCCACGTCTTCTGCGACGTCGGCTTCCTTGCATTCCGTAGCCGCTGCTGCCGTCGTCTCCACCCCTCAGTTGACGGCGACGGAAGTCCTCCTCCAGAATCTTTGTCCGCACCCACTCGAGTGTCCACGAGCTCTGGTTCTGCGGCAGGCTCAATCCGCTCGTGAATTGAAGCTATGATTCCGGCAGCAGTGAGAGCATCTTCAGGCACTTGGTCTGCTCCGGGTAGGTGATTCCCGCGGTCGCCAACTTCGCGTAGAGGTCGCGCATCTTGTCCTGGACAGGTTGCACCGGCTCTCCATCGCTCAGGCGCAACGCGGACAGCTCCCTCTCCAGCATCAATGTTGCAACAACGGAGGTCGGGGCGTGCAGCTCCTTTAACACGGTCCACGCCTTCGGACCGTACTCAACCTCCGCCAGCAGGTGCATGACGTGGTGACGCTGGTTCAGCTCCAAACTCTGCGACATCAAATAGTAGCCAGCCGAGGAGCGCTCGTCCCAGTCTTCTTGCAGCGTGGGGTCACTTGGTCTAGGCTCCTCCCCAATCAT